CCCCCCGGAGGGGGTGTGCAGGGCGCCCACGTGGCAGGAATGAGAGCCCCCCGGAGGGGGTGTGCAGGGCACCCACGTGGTAGTGACGAGAGTCCCAGGTGGGGCCAGGAGAGGCCGGCCAGGCTCGCCTCTGGGTGCTGCAGGGAACCAGCCCGCTGTGGTACCCAGGCCATTCCTGGTCTGCACCTCTCAGAAGGTGCCCCTGGGCAGGGTCCCTCTGCTCCAGGGCCCCCACCTCCTCTAGTAACCTATGGAATTACTGAACCTACAGCTCCAAGAGTGTCTTGTGACTTCTCGTGTGTCCTGGGCATGTGGGAAACAGCCCATGTGTACCTCTGGCTATGGTGGTCCCCCTGAGGGAGGCTCCAGCTCACAGGGGGCACAATGGGCACCTCTGAGGCCCCCATAGCCCACTCACAGCCCCTCCCTCCTGCCACCTTCACACAGGGTCTGCAGGAAGCCACATCTGGGCAAATCCCTCCATGCTCAGCTAGCCAGCCATCGTCCAGGGCTCTAGGGCTAAATCTCATGTGCTGGCAACTCTGGACAGACTAGGGGCCTCCCAGACACTAGGAGGGTCTCTGGGACTCACTGCCTAGCTAGGCCACATTCATCGGTATGGGGGACAAAATGATGACTTCAAGATGTCCAATTCTAATCCTCAGAACCCGTGACTATGTCACTTTACATGGTAAACAGAGCTTGCAGAGGCAACTAAGATCTTGAGATTGAGTGGCATCCTGGTTTATGGCCCTAAATCTAATCCCAAGGTCCTCATAAGAGGGAGGCAGGAGGGTCAGAGTCAGAGGAGGAAGTAGAGGTCAGAGAGACATTGGGCACACACACCTGCACATGTGCGTGCACACACCATACACACATGCACGCACACCACATCACACATCTGCACACATCACACACACATGCGCGTGCACACACCATACACTCACATGCACGCACACCACACATCTGCACATACCACACACACATGCACGCACACCACACATCTGCACACACCACACACACATGCACGCACACCACACATCTGCACACACCACACACACATGTGCGTGCACACACCATACACTCACATGCACGCACACCACACATCTGCACACACCACACACGCATGCACATCACACCACACATCTGCACACACCACACACACATGCACGCACACCACACCACACCACACATCTGCACACACCATACACGCACATGCACGCACACACCACACATCTGCACACACCACACACACACATGCACGCACACCACACCACACATCTGTTCACACCACACACA